TTCAGGTCTCCTCACACTGCTGGTGGGTTCCATTTTGTCATAGGGTGCTGTATGGCCTCCCATTGCTGCTGCTTCCACCGCCACACTGTGGCTCCACACTCTGGTTTTGGCCCCGTGACTGCCCAAATGAGTGAAGTGTGCGGTGATTCTAAGATCGACGGCACTCATCTGCATGTCATACTGACTGACAGTATTATTTCTCTTCCCCAGCAGACTCCAAGGGCATTTAAATTAAGGGTACAGTGTTCTGCACTAATATAAAGGCTCTCTGAAGCCTAGAAAACACCCTTTTTATAAGTTAATTTCGCAGCGAATATATTCGCCTCAAATCAAATTTATTCCTCGAATTCGCCGAATCGAATTTTTGAATACTTCGCTCATCTCTACTTATAAACTTATTTTGGATGCCCCCTCCTTATCCAATGACACTCACCTTTACATGCATAGGTGGTCTCAATTCGTACAATGTAATATTGACCTATTAATGTGGAAGAAAATTTGGGAAAATGCATCTAGATCTTATGTTTTTGTGTTTTTTAAGGAAAATATATACAAGATCATGATGTTATGGTACAAAACACCTGAAGTTCTTCATGTTTATAATCCTAATGCTTCTCCTGCCTGCTGGCGCTGTGGTGGAGACCTGGGTTCTCTCTATCATATCTTTTGGACATGCAGCTCCATTACTCCTTTTTGGGAAGATGTTCTCTCCCTGTTACAATCACTAATGCATACCTCTCTCCCACTTGATCCACTACATTTTTTGCTAGGTCTACCATTTCGGGTTTACCTAAACCATCCGGAAAACTTGCTGTACATGTTCTGACCGCGGCTAGGAGAAGCATTCCTATGTGTTGGCTGTCTTCTACTCCTCCTTCAGTGTCAATTCTGTACAAACTTATTGCTGATGTTGGACAGATGGAATACTTGACTGCACTACATAATTGTTCGTTTGCTGTGTTTGAGATGATTTGGCTCCCATGGGATACCTTCATTTCCTCTATGCTGGCCCAAAATGTAAGGTCCTGATAACCTTCACACTGTTATTTTATGTTTTTGTTGGTCCTGTCCTTACGCAGTTTTGCCATCGATGTACCTTTCTGTTTTGCTTGTTTTCTTTTCTTATCCTTTTTTTTAAACATACTGTTTGTATATTCATGAAAATCAATAAAAATTGTTAATATAAAAAAAAAAAAGTGCTAGGCATAGAATTTGGCCCTGACGACTACAGCATAACAAATTAGGAGTCCAGGTTGTCAGATGCTGATGTTAAGTGAGATGCTGGAAGGGGTGGCGGCTGTCCCTAAGGGAAAGGGTTGACCTAATCAAGACTTACTTGGTCCCTGTTTTCTTATACGTCAGTTTCGTTTGTCTCTTGCCAGAGTCTCTCTACACGAGGGTTTACAGCTGCTTCTTCCAGCTATTATGGGGGAACAGACTGAACCTTGTGAAGCGGGATGTGACTTATCGATCCAGGTGGGAGGGTGGCCTAGGTATGGTCAACCCAGTTGTTTTCTTCTCTCTGATGTTTATTAAACATAATCTTGGTAGCATGTTAAAAGAGAGACCGCTGCATGGGTAGGCCTTTTCCAAATCTGGTTTAAGCCTTTTCCGAACTGTTGGGAGAGAGGCGGGCCAGTGAGAAGCTTGAGAGTCAGACATGGTAAGCTCCCGACTTATGTTGCTCCGTGCTTGAAGATACTGAGGCGGTGGTGTGTGACTGCGGAAGAGGTCAGATCGCTCCCTGGGAGACTCCTGAGGGAGAGGGTCGTGGCCTCTGCGTTTCATGGACCATTGGCCTTAAAGGATTGCCCAGGCCATATTTTGCGGGTAGGGCCACGTTTGTTAAATATGGAAAGGATTCCCTTGAAGTTTAGGGACCAGGCCTGGCTTGCGTTCCATGGCAGGCTCTATGGGAGGGGAAACCTGAAGTACCGTTCTCTGGATAACCGTGGTTGTCCGAGGACAGAGTGTGGGGGCGAGGTGGAATCTATGGACCACTTCTTGCTTCAGTGTCCCTTCAACATAGAGGTGTATAAAGAGGTGAGGAGGGCTCTAGACATCCCCTTCCTGCACTGCATGTCTTATGCAGAGTGGGTTTATGGGTCCCTGGAAAGTCATACTGGTTTTGATTTGAACACTCTTTTTCTAGTTTGTCTAGTGACCCATTACTACACATGGAATGCACGTGTCAGGTTTCCATTCGGGGAAGGTCCTTCCTGTTCAGGTGGTGGTGTGTGACATCCTTGGTGAGGTTGGGAAAATTCGGGGTCTAGAGAAAGACAGGTTGCGGCGAAGGGCCTGGATAGAGGCATGGAGGAACATCAGGCCTGTAGCTGCGATCTGTTGATCTCTTGGTGAGGTTGCTTTCCTGTTTTTCCTTTTCATTTACTCCCCTAGATTTTGTTATGAAGTATTTTTGAAGAAAGGCTATGTGCACCTGAAGGTCTAGGTCTTAGCTTTGGTTGAGTAGATAGGTTGTGTTTTTTAAAGCCATAAAGGCTGCTGTTATTCAGTGGAAGTTGCTTCCCCCACAAGGGGAGGATAAATGTAATGCTTGATAAGTAGGCCATAAAGGTCTTGGTGATGTTTTTTACTTTTTTTTTTTCTGCTTTTTACCTGCCCAGTTAGTAAAGCCATAAAGGCTGTTGTTATTCAGTGGAAAGTATATATCTGATTTAGGGAGATGTATCCTGTTCTTGTTTTTGTTTATGTTTCCAGATTATTACTGTATGTCTTTATTTTTTTTTTGTATTTTTGTATAAAATGTAAGCTGGTTGCAAGATTTTATTTCAATAAAATATTTCCAGCTATCCTACAGCTGAGCCTCGTTAGAAGGAAGTGGGTGTGGTTGCTGCACAGACAGTGTGTGGTGTGTGCTGTGTGAGGTCCTGCTAGGCCTCAGACTGAGCCAGGGACTAAACTTCTGGCACTACCCAGGAGAGGATGGCGGAGCCTGGCCAGGATCCGGGTGGAGGTGACCCTGTAGGGACACTTAGTACCGGTCCTGATGCCATGCCAGTGGAGGACCTGGGAAAAGGTCCTAAAGCAGGTGAAAACTATGCGGCTTACAGGGGGAGAGTTACATCTCCTATCAGAAGGATTGGAAGAGAGGAGGAGAAGCTGAAGCAAATGAAGATGGAGTTGAAGCATTTTAAGGCTGCCTATGATCGTGTATGGAGCACAAAACGTCAGGCCATGCGGCCAAAGCTGGAGGAAATGGAGCGAGCCGTCCGGGTGCAAGGAGACCTCGTGACCACGCTCAAAGCTGTGAGCGGCGCCCTCAGAGAGCGGTACGTCAATGAGGAGTGATTTAAACTTGCCCGGGAAAAGTCCTTTGCATCTGGGAGAGGCTGGGTGGAGACCCTGTCATCAGAGGATTCCTCCGATCATGCAGCAGCAGCCCCAGCAGCAGAGTGTCAGCATGCAGAGGAAGCCAGGGATGCCATGACGGTGGAAGAGGAGCAGGGATCTATCCCTCCTCAGCAGCCGGTGAGGGATTGGGCTTCAGAGGTACCGGATGAAGCTACAGAGGGGGTGATGGAGTTTATTGGGGAACTGGAGTCCCCGCTGCAGGGGAGACAGTTCGCGTTTTCCTCAGCAGATGATGTGGTTCCCAAACCTGTGAGACCCAGGAGGAGGGAGAGAGCTGCCTTTGTTCTACTGGAGCGTTTGCCTAGTGAGATAGAGAAGGCAGCCGGCTTGAGAGAGGTGAGTGGTGCGGCAGTGAAGCTGCAGGAAGCACCAGGGACTGTAAGTAAAGCTGTCATGTCTGCTGGTAATGTTGTGCCTATTGTGGTATTAGATGACCCGGATCCCATGTGTGTGCCTGACTCAGCTGCAGCTGTGTCTACTCTTGTGTTTCCATCCCTGCTGACGCTGCTGTTCCCGCACATATTTCCACCTCTGCTGCAGTCATGGCACCGGGTGGTGTTCCCGCACATGTTTCCGCCTCTGCTATGGCGGCTCCCGTCTCAGTACCCCCCCCTGCTGCAGTCATGGCTCCCAGTGGTGTTCCCACACATGTTTCCGCCTCTGCTATGGCGGCTCCCGTCTCAGTACCCGCCCATGTTCTCGCCTCAGCCCCGGTCACGGCTCTTGCCAGTGTTCACACCCATGTTCGTGTCTCTACAACGGTGCAGGCAGCAGTCTGTGTACCCACCCCTGATCCCGCCTCTGCTCTTGTCAGGGCTCCGGGTATGACCAGAGGTATGTGAACTGACGCAGGGAAACGCAGGCTTCAGATATTTATAAACAATATAATTTATTAATACTAACAATACAAACGCAGTGCAATACTAAAACATAACACAGTGCAAACGAACCAAACCAAACCACCCACAGATAACAATACATACAATGCAAGCGTAGTCAGGCAGGCCGGGTCAATAACAATTGGGCAGGTAGGAACAGGAGGAGTAGGCAGAGAGTAGTCAGGTCACGAGCCAGGTAAAGCAACTAATGGGCAGGTAGGTACAGGGGGTCAGGCAGAGAATGGTCGGGGTCACAAGCCAGGGATCGAACAGGAGAAGTCAGCAGAGGTCCAGATCAGGCAGGGTCAGTCAGACAGGAACAGGAATGCAGGTAACAAGATACAGGGGCCCATAGAAAAACACACACCAAGGCACAGACTGCAGGTCTGGCCATCCCTTAAATACACCTCCGTAATCAGCTTCAGGTGTTTGGCTGACTAAAGGGTTGAGTCTCTGATTGCTGAAAGCACCCGCTGGCCAGCCCTGGTACTGCAGCCCACAAGGCAGGTGAGTCCCACCATTACTGGCAAGTTCATTCCTGACAGTACCCCCCCTCAAGGAGTGGCCTCAGGACGCTCCAAACAGTCCTAGCTGGGCAAAATGTTCCACCGCCCGGGTCTGGTAACTGGCGGGATATCAAAGACTGGCACATCGGGCTGGACTCCGGGCAGAGGCACATCGGGCTGGACTCCGGGCAGAGGCACATCGGGCTGGACTCCGGGCAGAGGCACATCGGGCTGGACTCCGGGCAGAGGCACATCGGGCTGGACTCCGGGCAGAGGCACATCGGGCTGGACTCCGGGCAGAGGCACATCGGGCTGGACTCCGGGCAGAGGAACAGGGCCCCCAGGCGGGGCGGCAGGCACCGGGCCCCCAGGCGGGGCGGCGGGCACCGGGCCCCCAGGCGGAGCGACGGGCACCGGGCCCCCAGGCGGAGCGACGGGCACAGGGCCCCCAGGCAGGCGAGCGACGGGCACAGGGCCCCCAGGAGGGGCTGCGGGCACAGGGCCCCCAGGCGGGGCTGCGGGCGCCGGGCCCCCAGGCGGGGCAGCGGGCGCCGGGCCCCCAGGAGGGGCGACAGGCATCGGGCCCCCAGGCGGAGCGACAGGCATCGGGGCCCCAGGCAGAGCGGCGGGCACCGGGTCATCAGGCACGACAGCGGGCACTGGGTCACCAAGCATCAGGTCATTTGGCTTGCCAGCGGGCACCGCGTCATCTGGCAAGGCAGTGGGCACCGAGTCACCAGGCACGACAGTGGGCACTGGGTCAGACATTGGATTGTCTGGCTCGACAGCGGGCATTGGATCACCAGGCATCAGGTCATTTGGCTCGACAGCGGGCACCACGTCATCTGGCAAGGTAGTGGGCACCGAGTCACCAGGCACAACAGTGGGCTCTGAGTCAATTGGCATGACAGCGGGCACCAGGTCATCAGGTACCGGATTGTCTGGCTCGACAGCAGGCACCGGGTCATCTGGCGCTGGATCGTCTGGCTCGACAGCGGGCATCGGGTCACCAGGCATGACAGCGGGCACTGGGTCATCAGGCATTGGATTGTCTGGCTCGACAGCGGGCATCGGGTCATCAGGTACCGGATCGTCTGGATCGCCAGCGGGCACCGGGTCATCTGGCTTTGGATCGTCTGGCTCGACAGCGGGCATCGGGTCATCAGGTACCGGATCGTCTGGATCGCCAGCGGGCACCAGGTCATCTGGCTTTGGATCATCTGGCTTGACAGCGGGCATCGGGTCACCAGGCATGACAGCAGGCACTGGGTTATCAGGTACTGGATTGTCTGGATCGACAGCGGGCACCGGGTCATCTGGCGCTGGATCGTCTGGTTCGACAGCGGGCATCGGGTCACCAGGCATGACAAGCGGGCACTGGGTCATCAGGCATTGGATCGTCTGGCTCGACAGCGGGCATCGGGTCACCAGGCATGACAGCGGGCACCGGGTCATCAGGTACCGGATGTCTGGCTCGACAGCGGGCATCGGGTCACCAGGTATGACAGCGGGCACCGGGTCATCAGGGTACCGGAACGTCTGGCTCGACAGCGGGCATCGGGTCACCAGGCATGACAGCGGGCACTGGGTCATCAGGCATTGGATCGTCTGGCTCGACAGCGGGCTTCGGGTCACCAGGCATGACAGCGGGCACCGGGTCATCAGGTACCAGATCGTCTGGCTCGACAGCGGGCATCGGGTCACCAGGTATGACAGCGGGCACCGGGTCATCAGGTACTGGATCGTCTGGCTCCACAGCGGGCATCGGGTCACCAGGCATGACAGCGGGCACTGGGTCATCAGGCATTGGATCGTCTGGCTCGACAGCGGGCATCGGGTCACCAGGTATGACAGCGGGCACTGGGTCATCAGGCGTGATAGGATCATCAGGCTGGATCAGTTCATCAGGCTGGGTAGAGACATCAGGCTGGGTAGAGACATCAGGCTGAAGTGCGGGTGCCAAGGCACCAGGCTGAACCACGGAAGGCAGGTTCTCAGACGGCAGGCTCACCGGTTTGGATACTGGCAGGATGGTACTGGTTGGAAAGAATTTTCGCTTTTTTCTGGTTTTAACTACTGGAGCACTGCAAGTAAACGCAGGTCTGCAAACAAATGGAGCAGCTGAGGACAGAGAAGAGCTGGAAGATGGAACAGAGGAGGGAGCAGTTGCTACAGAGGACTTCTTTACAGGGTTAAAGAAAGGATAGGTGCAGCGAGTGGGAGCAGAGGACTGGTATGTGGTAGTTAGCAGAGTATACTGGGCCGTCACTGGGGGTGCTGTCGGGGATGCAGGAAGAGTGCCTTGAGCAGAGGCATGACGTTGCAAGCTGACTGAGGCTGGGTGCAACAAGTCTGACCATGTCTGCAGTATGGGTTGAACAAAGCTGAGCTTACACAAAGCCTGTCTGGTCAAAGACTGCACTGCGTTTATACAATCTCTTAGTACCTGTTGTGAACATGCAGAATAACGCTCCAGAAAGTAATCCACATCATCCTCTAATAACCATACCAGGGACTCTACCTGGTCGGCACTAAATGGCGGCAAAAATTCATCCCTGCATTCGGGGGTACCAGATGAAACCAACTCAGCACAAACCTGAATCAATGGCTGCACCTCAGAGAATTCTGTGCCCTGATCTACTAGGCAATGAGCGATCCGTATACATTCTAGTAGTTGATCCCTGGGATACTCCTTCAGAGTCTGATAAGCATATTCTCTGTCATCAAACACTAGCAGAGATAAATACACAACCTCATCAAGATCCATCCTTCCCAGCAACAAGCCAAGATGGCTTCCCTGTGCAGCCACTTCTGGTCAGGATTGGCCTTGGTGTAATGTCAGGGCTCCGGGTATGACCAGAGGTATGTGAACTGACACAGGGAAACGCAGGCTTCAGATATGTTATAAAAACAATATAATTTATTAATACTAACAATACAAACACAGTGCAATACTAAAACATAACACAGTGCAAACGAACCAAACCACCCACAGATAACAATACATACAATGCAAGCGTAGTCAGGCAGGCCGGGTCAATAACAATCGAGCAGGTAGGAACAGGAGGAATAGGCAGAGAGTAGTCAGGTCACGAGCCAGGTACAGCAACTAACGGGCAGGTAGGTACAGGGGGTCAGGCAGAGAATGGTCGGGGTCACAAGCCAGGGATCAAACAGGAGAAGTCAGCAGAGGTCCGGATCAGGCAGGGTCGGCAACTAATCAGTCAGACAGGAACAGGAACAGGAATGCAGGTAACAAGATACAGGGGCCCATAGAAAAACACACACCAAGGCACAGACTGCAGGTCTGGCCATCCCTTAAATACACTTCCGTAATCAGCTTCAGGTGTTTGGCTGACTACAGGGTTGAGTCTCTGATTGCTGAGAGCACCCGCTGGCCAGCCCTGGTACTGCAGCCCACAAGGCAGCTGAGTCCCACCATTACTGGCAAGTCCATTCCTGACAGCTCTGGTCTCAGCTCCCGTTGCTAGTCCTGCCCCTACCCCCGGCCAGGCTCCTGCTTCTGCACCCGCCCGTGGTCCCGCCCCTGGTCCCATCTCTGCACCCGTCCCAGCTCACGGCTCAGCTGATCCTTCTGTCCCTGCATCTGTCACAGCTCCCAAGCCAGTGTTGAGTTACTCTGCAGCCGTGAGAGGTGGGCAGAGTGCAGTGAGGACCTCAGAGGCACGAGTTGGGGAGGCAGGCACTGTGATAAAGAGAAGGAATGTGGTACAAATAAAGTGGGAGGGTGGGAGTCCCACCCCCACTAGAAAGGAGGTTATTGATCGTATATTGGACATGGGCTTCTGTGCCAGGGACATATTCGCCTTTATTGCACCCATTGGCACAGGTGAATACGATGTTTCCTTTGTGAGGCTAGAGAGCCTTGATCTGTTCTGGCAGAGGTATGAAGGGGGGTGGAGGGATACCCCCAGGTGGGAGGGACTGAGGCCAAAGGTGGTCTCCAGGCAGCAGGTAGTCAAAAACATTACAATACTCGTCAGGAAGGAGTCCATACCGGCGGCAGACCTGGTAGTATGGTTGAGTCGCTGAGTCCACTGAGAAAACAGCTTGACGACAGGGGTATATGGACGGGGGGATGGGCAGCGGTGGTGAAGCTGCGAGTGCAGGGTAACATAGTGAGTCATATCCCATCATCAGCCTTCATTGGCAAAGATAGGCTGGTCGTTTTTTTTATGCGGGCCAGCCTAAAGTATGCCACAGATGCGGGAGCAAAGAGCACTTTGCCTCTGGGTGCAGTGTACTGAAATGCTCATTGTGCCAAGAGGTTGGTCATGTAGCTAAAGACTGCAATCAAATCAGATGTAATCTGTGTCAGGAGTTGGGTCACTCTTACAGTAATTGCCCAGAGGCTCTGCATAACCTGCCAGGGGTGATGGAAGAGCTGGCTAGAATGGAGGCTGAGGAGGCTAAGGAAGTAGAGGCAGGTCGGGTTTTGGTTGAACCAACAGTTGAGTTGATGCTGGGCCAGCCTCAGGGGCGCCTAGTGTGTCCCCCAATGTGTCTGTCATTCCCCCTGTTGTTAGTATTCCCCGTTTCTGTCTCTTCCCAGTTGTCATCTGCCCCTCCTCGTGTGTCTCCCTCCTCCTGCCAATCAAAAATCAAGGAGGCTGCTAAGGGAGCAGGGGTTGCGGGGTCCTCAGGGTCTTCTCCAGTTTTGCTCCCTCGTCAACAGAGGAGTCAGGTGAAGGGGGATGGGGTGTCGGGAGGTAAGCAGGAGTGTTCAGGCTCAGGTCCTGGGGTTGAGGTGTCTGGGACAGAGAATAAGGGGGATGGGTGGTCTGTAGTGGGGAAGGGAAATAGGAATAGGCCTTTAATTTCCCCTGCATCTTCCCTCTCCTCTTTAGATGTAGAGGAGGTAAATCTGAGCAACAGGTTTGGGACTCTGCCGAGGGAGGATGGGGACATAGGTGAGTTCCTATCCCCAATGGAGGATGAGGATGCTGGGGGTTCCCTAAAGAGGTCTAGGCCTCCGGGAAAGGGTGGGAAAACAAAGGGTAAGAAACGGCCATCTCAAGTATCCTAATGGCAGTTCCCGCTCTGGTAAAGGTGGCAACTATTAATGTTGCCAGCATTAAATCTGTAAGTGCTCGTAGTACAGCCTTATTTTTGCTCAGCAAGATTTGTGCTGATGTTTTGTTTTTGCAAGAGAGCCGTTTTAATTGCCTGGCCGATTTACATCTGGCAAAAAGAGAGTGGAGGTGTGGCCCATCTTTTTGGTCTCTTGCGGCTGAGCTTTACAGCGGAGTTGCGGTACTTTTTTCCGGCATAGTATCGTGTCGGCGGGTCCTTGAGGTGGAGATTGGAAGGTGTTTGGTCTTAGACGTCCTTGTGAAGGGGCAGGAATTACGTCTTATTAATATATACGGTCCCCAGTCTACGTGGGATAGGAAATGCCATTTCACAAAGATTAAGCCATTCCTTTTTACGTCCCCGCAGGTTGTCTTTGGAGGTGATTTTAACACCATCACTAGGCTAAAAGACAGGAAAGGCTCCACTGACAGGCTGGGATATGACAGCGTTTTTTTAAATGCGATAGTCAGTTTCAGGGACCATCGCGACGCATGGGTCTGCACATGCGTAGGTGTCTGTCAAGACATGCAGGCAGCAGGGCACTAGGACCCACGGGCACCCGTCGCCTATGACGGTGCTGGGCAGGAACTAGGACCTAGGCTGCGCCTGTCAGGTGCAGGGCGGGCTACTTAAACCAGCCCTGCACAGACACAAGTTGCCGTATGGTCTGATCTTGTTCCTGTATTGCCGTTGTTTGAGATTCATTGCTGACCTGCTTGGACCTCACCCCTGCTGACTTCTCATGCTCTGACCACTGGCTAAGTTTGACCTCTCTTTTGGATATCCCTACCTGATCTGAACTACTGGTACCGACCCCGGCGAGTGACCTGACTATTCTTCTGCCTGCTGTCTTGTACTACGCTGACCCCTCGGTTACCAACCTGGCCGTTTGACCACGCTATTGGTCAGCCATCCATCTGACCCGCACGGATTAGCTGCTACTCTCCAGACCTGTCTGCCTCTTCACGTCAGGCTCTCTACCTGTCATTACCTCTGGTGATTCCTCTACCTCAGGTGGGTGTACTCAGGGGCCGCGACCTGGTCACTGTCCGCTCCAAGCCCATCCCCACCATCAGGGGATCTGGTGAACAAGCGGACTGGGGCTTAGACTCCGCACCCTGGGGAATCCTGTCCTGTGGACTGCTAGAGTACACCAGGTGGTCCATAACAGTCAGGGAAGCAGGTCTGGTGGATGCCTTGATTAAGTGCAGCCCGGACAGCACGGGGTTCACTTTTAGAAGAGGTAGATGTGAGAGTAGGATAGATAGGTTTTTTTTTTAAAGGGGACTCTGCTTTCTCGGCACCTGAGTGTTGGGCAGTGGAGTTTTCCGACCACCTTTTATTGACTGTGGCTTTGAATGCTTCAGATGCGCTGCTGAAGGGAAGGGGTGTCTGGAGGTTGAATTCGGCTCTGCTGGAGGACGAAGAAGTGAGACGATCCTTTGAGGATTTTCTTCAAGCACAGGAGACCATCCTGGATTTCTACGGCAGTAAGTCGGAGTGGTGGGAGCTTACCAAAGTGCGGATCAGCAGGTTTTTCAAGGCCCTAGGTAAGAAGAAACAACTTGTGAAATACATTGCCTATCAGCAGTTGCAGAGGAAGCTTGACCACCTTGTCTCAGAGGGTGGAGATTCTGGGGCAATCTCAGAGGTTAAGCTTCTCTTGAAGAAGTATCAGTATGATCGGCATGCCTCTTTGGTTCTGGAGAGGGACTACGGGAAGTACCATTCACCCGACCCTTACCAGAATTACAAACGGAGCATAGCAATTAAGACGATCAGCGGCCTGAGGGATAGTACAGGATCCCTGATGAAATCCAGGTCAGGGATCTTGGAGGTCTCAAGGGCTTTTTTTGAGTATCTTCTGAGGGAGAAGCACCTTGAGTAGGCAGGGATGTCAAGCTTCCTGGATTCTACACCAGGGTTGGAGAATAACACCCCGTCCACAAGTTTG